TTAGGGTTAGCTTTAGGGCTAGGGGCTGGGTTAGGGCTAAGGCTAGGGTTAGGGCTAGCTTTAGGGCTAGGGCCTGGGTTAGGGCTAAGGCTAGGGTTAGGGTTAGAGTTAAGTGGAAGGTCAGAATTAGGAATAAGGGTAGGATTATTGTAAGTTTTAGGGATTGTTAGGGTTAGGTTTATGGCCAGACTCTAGTTTATCTGTAGTTTTGAAATTATTATTCAATAACCATTCAAAAATGCCCCCAAATTATGTTTTCTGATTTATTAATAGATGATAATTATCACAATGTTTATATTGACTTTCTTTATTTACTTTTGGTATTTCCAAATGAGCTTTCACTTTCATTTGTTTTTTATATCAGTGTTTTTTCTATTTTCATGTTTCTGTCTATGGTGTTGATTTCTTTTTTCTCCTTATACTTTTTATCCGCTACCTTCTTCTTCTAAATAGCCAATTTCCCCATCTTCCAAACTATCTGAATGGCTTTTATATAAATTGACACTTAGATGGTCCTTAATAGACATCTTGGGAGACATAGTGAGGACCCCTAAACCTTCTCTAGAGATATCATTTCCTTTGCACAGCTCATGTGGGACCCTTTGTTTATAGATTCTGTGTAGTGAATTCCAGTTGTTATATATTCAGTCCCTGATTGGGCTTTCCCCACACAGCCAGTTTGGTTTGGCTTTACCAGCTGCCAATAAGAGGCTCCCCAGCTGGAAGCATCCTAACCTTTTCCCATTGACTGGCTCTTCTGGCCAGCAAGTGCTGCTGAGGTGAACTGGCAGGCGTGGGGTGAAGGTGAGGTTCATGTGGCCTCTTTGAGCAATAAGAGGCCTAACTGGATCCTTTGGTTCTTTTTTGACCCTCCCCCCCAAAAGCTTGTCCTGTCTCCTTTGTGGTCCTTTTCCTCACTAGGGTTTGGGCCTGGCGATCAGGTGGAGAGATGGATGTCAAAGGGTCTCCAAAGGGACGTGGAGTAGAACATATTGTTAAGGGCAGTCTCTTTTTTCACGATTAGTTTATTTCCAAGGTGCCTGAAATGCATTTTCTGTTTTTAAAAAATCATCTGCTTTCAGTTTTTAGTTTTGTCTAGATTTATTTAAAAAAGACTTTTTTTTTAATGAGACAGGCTCTTACTGTACAGCTCTAGCAACTATGTAAACCAGACTGGTCTCCAACTCTTAGAGAGCTGCTTTCTTTTTTCCCCGGAGTGTGGCAGTTCAAGGCATTCACCACCATACCTGTTTAAAAATTTCATTCTTATTGAATAAAGAAGAAAATTATATCTCTAACTAGAAGCAACCAATTAATATATTTCCAGGGCATTTCTCAATGTATTCTTTAATAATCTACATTGGAAAAAAAACACCTTAGAAATATATTTAAAATTTTATTTTTTTGCTTGTATATTTGTGACATGGGTGTGTGTATATATGTGAGTTTGCCTGTGTGTGTGTGTATGCAAGTGTGTGGTGGCTCAAAATGGACTTCATATGCCTTCCCCAATTGCTTCCCATTGCATTTACCGAGGCAGGGTCTCTTGCAGAACCTAGAACCTGCTGACTCCAGCTTGTCTAGGTAGCCAGCTTGTCTGGGGGTACCCTACTTCTGCCTTCTGGGTGCTGGGATTACAGGTTGGCCATCCCATTACCTGGCTCTTGTGGTTCTGAGAATCTAAACTCAGGTCTGCCCAGTGCCCAAGCTGGTGCAGTCCAGTGCCCAAGCTGGTGCAGCCCAGTGCCCACACTGGTGCAGCCAGTGCTCTATCTGGTGAACCATCTCCCAAGCTCTATTAAAACATCTTACTAGTTTTAATAGTTGTATCCTAGTTTATTTATATATATAAACCATTTCAAGTCTTAGACTTTTAGAACCAGTTACACCATTCTAAACAATCATTTGGTAATAAGTTCACCATTTTCTTCCTTAGGAGTTTTATTTTTTATTTTTTATTTTTTTTTATTTGGGTCTTGCTGTTTTGTGATGATATCCAGGCTGGTGTCACACTTACAACCTTCCCATTTCTGCCTCCTGAGTGTTAGGATTATAGGCATGTACCATACACCTGGCTGAAATGTTATCTTCAATTCTTGATTCCCTACATGCTCATTTCACGTTTGCTTGGGACATTATGAATAGAATACCCTGTTTCTTTTAAACTCTGGATTGTGAGGTGTTGAAAATCAGCCTGACTGAAGCTGGGAGGAATATAGTAGTTCAAAACCATTCCCGAGGCATGCATGCATGCAAATGCTTAAGAATAGAAAAATCAAAGGAATGATGGTTCTTGAGGAAGACCCTGAAATCTTGCTGTGTGCATGTATGAGTGCATGAGCTTGTGTGGGTGATTCCTGGTGACTGGCTAGAGGCTTGACCCTTCCCCCCAAATATTTTCTTGTTCCCTAGCTTTTGTCCCTTAAATTCCACAGGTAATATGTTATTTTCTTTTTTTAAATTTTTTCTCTCTCCTGAGAGTTTTGCTGGGACATTCTGCCCAGCAAAACCCCCATTTTTTTCTTTTCTGTCTTTTATTTATTTTGGGTAGGATCTTACTGTGTTTCCCTGGTTGACCTAGAATTTGCTATGTAGACCAGGCTGGCCTTGAGCCCACAGAAATCCACCTGCCTCTGCCTCCTGAGTACCAGGATCAAAGGTGTGTGCCACCACACCCAGTCAAGACTCCCATTAGTGCATTCCAGGAGTCTCAGCAGGTCCAGATGGGAGCAGCTGGACAGCCTCTCAGCCTCTCAGTCTGGCCATAGCCTGGAGCTTATCCAAGAGGCCAACAAAGAAAGAAAATATAAAAATGTGTCATAAATAATTGTAATTGATCTTGCAAACACTAAATGATAAACCTGAGAACCATTTCTCCCCCCTTCCCCTCCTTTCCCCTCTGTCCCTCCCTTTACTTCTCCCTTTCTCCTTTTCCTGTCCTTTCTGTTTTCTGTTCGGTGCTGGGGACTGAACCCAGGGCCCCACACATGCTCAGTGTGTTCTCTAACACTGGGTTACTGTGGGAGGACTGCCCATTTCTCTGTGAGAGGCCCCCTTCCACTTTTCCCCCAGGGTCCTCTTGAGGAGGGAGATGTGGGAAATATTTAGATGGAAGGATAGAGAAACAGATAGAAACACAGGATAGCCTCAGGAGGACCTGGATCCTTATCCACCAGCCCCTTCTGTCTCTCCTAAAGGGTTGTTTATAGGAATGCCAAGGATGGAGCAAAGACCTTCCCCTAGCTCAGCCGAGTGTAGACCCTTCCAATCATCTGGTAACCACACACATGGTCAAGCAATCCTCTAATGCAGCCCTGCTGGGTGAAGCAAGCTCAGGTCTTCCTAGGAAACCTTTATGGGCCTCCACAGACTACACTCTTAACCTTGAGGATCATCTTAACTACTTTTGTAATTTCACATACTTAAAATTGAATGCAAAGTTTTAAAATTATTATTTTCAATCACTGACACTTTTCTTTCGAGACCTGGGGGAATCTCTTAGGACCTTTTTTCTCTACATACGCTGTTTGGTAATTAGAGAGAGCCAGAAGTTAGAACTCTGAAATTCTGCTTGTAATCCAGGCACAATCTAAGGAGAAAGAAATGAAGGAACCACACTCATGCCCAGGCCACTGGCCCTGGTTAGAATTAGTGAGTCAAAAATCAAAAAGAATATAAAAAATGTGAATATGGAATGGGGACTTGTTGGGAAGGGGCTTAGGGAGAGTGGGAGGAGAATAAGAGGATGAGTGTGACTGGAATGTATTACATATGTATATGCAATTGTTGAAGAAAGTGTTAATTATAAAAATAAGTGTAAAGAAACGAAGCAAACAGCATCCTCAGGACACAGCCTTCATGGCACATAATAAGTCTGTATCTTGGCTGGGCATCCTGAGCTTGGCCAGACTAGGTGCTGATGTTCCAGCTAAGGAAGTGGTTTTGGGATGGGGAATAATTCACAGTCCAATGGATTTTGTCAGGATCTCTTCTCCTGTACATGTCGGCAAAGACTTCCTGCCTGCAGTGTGACCAGCTCTCCCTACCACACCCTCAGACGATCTTCTCAGGAAACAAACAACAGAGCAGGGAAGAGAACTGAGATGCAGGACAGAGCAAGGCAGACTCTTGCTCATGTCTCTCAGTACAGCTGTGCCTGAGCCAACCTTGGCTTCAGCTAGCCCAGCTATAAAAGCTAACATTCTGTTTGTCTTAAAGTTGTGTAAGTGTGCACCAGTTCCTTTCACAGGCCTTATACATCATTACTACTGGGTCTTTAGTACCACATTTTTAGATAAGGGAACCGAGACTCAGGAAGGTGGGATGCTTTGCTCAGCCTAATAGCTGGGGAGTGGCAGGACTCAAGGCAGAAGGTGAGCTGTTTTGACTTTGCAACTGACTCAATTTCTGTCCCTGATACCGATTCAACGACTACAGCTTATCATGCTTCCACCCCAGCCCTAGGTCAAGAGGACAGGCACTGGCTCTCTTGTTTCACAGGGCTGTGGACAAGCCAACAACATTAGACACTCTAGTTTGGTGTATCCACAGTCAAACGGGTTAAACTGGTTGTTCCAAGAACCTCGATTCATTATGGCTTCTGACTCAGAAACCATTACCCAGGCTGGGCCCAGACCTGACTGGCCTCCAGGCATCTAGGCTTCTGCTCTGGCAGACACAGATTCTGCAAGCAGAAGCAATTCTGGAAAGATGCACTCAGCTTTTGAAGTATTGAAACATCTTATATCCTCATCTCAATGCTTAGGAAAAAAGAACAGAATTATTCAAATGGAAGTTAACAGTGTTTTTAATATTTAAGTAACAAAACATGGAGATTAATACTCAATGTATACAATACGACAGAGCAATAACAAAAAGATGACAAAGCACAGTCTATAGGGAAGCTTTTAAACAACATCTTAAGCTGGGTAGTGGTGGTGCACTCCTTTAATCCTAGCACTCAGGAGGCAGAGGCAGGTGGATCTCTGAGTTTGAGGCCAGCCTGGTCTACAGAGTGAGTTCCAGGACAGTCAGGGCAACACAGGGAAACTCTGTCTCGAAAAACAAAACCAAAACAAAAAATCTCCCCAAAACAACAACAACAACAAAAAAAAAAACAAACCAATGATGTGTTAGACAGAGAACTACTAACTGAAAACACAGCTGGGCCTCACTGCCTTTAATCTGACCAGGGACTTTCTGATGGGTGGGTGGGTGGGTTGGGGGAAGCTCACTGTGTCCATAGTCTCAAAGGGACGACCTTCCATTTGGACCCCAAGAACCCTGATAACTTCCATGCCCTCAGTTGCTTATTTTCACCTTCTTCTTTCCCTCCTCTCTTGAATCTTTGATCTGTTCATTTTTTTGTATCACCTCAGATAATGAGTTTCAGGAAGACTCTCTTCAATATAGCCTAAACCACTGGTGCCCCAGTGGGAAGGACTCTGTGTGCTACCCTGAGACACCCCTGAGTATTCACTCACCCCCTGGAGGCCACTTTTATATCCACTATTAATGAGAGGACTGCCCTTTCCTCCGTAACAACACTGTGGCTAGAGCACTATTGCTGCTCTGGGCTTGGGTGGGTTTTAGTGAGCATCCTCATCTCCGTTTCCTGGGAGCCTCTTCTGGCTGCACATTGGGATGGAGTTCATGTTTTCTCCTCCAAAGGGCAGTCCTACAAGCCCAGAGAAGGGTGTGGCCCACATGCTAAGGACTGGTGTAGCTCTCAGAACCACAGAACTGACCGCAGGGCCAAGGGAGTGCCACTGTTAATGACAGTGACAATAGCTACACCAGTGAAGATGCACAGGCTCACTATTCTCTCTGAAGAAAGAACCAGTTTCAAGCTGCTTTCTAGGATTGGGGATTTGATTTTTTTTTTTAAACAAGGGCTGCACCTATGAGTACTCATGTTGTGGAGACTTCAAAAGAAAACAATTAGGATCATAAGCGTTTCATGAAGTTTGGATTTATGCAGAACCTTATAGAGTACAATATAGACAACGTCAAGGAATGATTTCCATGCCCCCACCAGATTTTTCTGTATATAAGGGTGAGGTTAATTTACAGCGATATTATATACCATTTTGCTAATGTACTATTTATTATAACTGTACACAGGACTCGGGTTACCAAAAACTCCACTTCTTTCTCTTCCAAGGAAAAATTTGACTTCTGACAAAAGGAGGACCTCAGGTGGAAAGCTTTGGGATGGTCTTGTTGAAACTAGCAGAGGCCAAGAGAAGTAAACAGGCTGGTTTGCCTCTACTGAAAACCACTGAGTCACCATGTGAGTGTCTCAGATGGTATGTTGGGGAGACCTCAACTATCTCTCCTCTATTATTTCTTTTTCTTTAATCAGTGTTCATTATTATTATTATTATTATTAGTCAAGTTGGGGGTGGGTAAAGCAAAATTAGTAGGAAATAATGCCTTTTAATCTATTTTTTCCCTTTTAAAATTTTCCTTGAGGATCAAGCTGGGAAATAGATCATCATCAGGGTTATTAAATATGAGGAGGGAAAGTTTGTCCAAGTCATCAAAGTATTAGACAGAGAGTCAAGTTACATTCTGTCATCTTATTTAAAAGTCTATAGTAAAAAGCAGAGGATTGGGATAAGAGAGTGTTGTGCCTTCTAACTCATAAGTGATAACTCAGCTATTTTGTGATGGAATATTTAGAGACAGAGACACGTGGCCAAGACTGTCTAACCTCACCATGGATGAAATCAAAGCTTAACCAACTTCTAACTGTCAGTTAGAAGCAATAAGGGACCAAGGTAGAATGTCCTTGTTTTGGAGTGAGCTCTTCTTGGGGTAGGGTTTCTTCTGCACATGTTGGGGGGTTTCTTAGAGCATTACACATAGTCATACTTGGAAGGAGGAGATTGTTCATCATCCTCTGTGCGGGCGCCCCCATCGTATATCTTCTTGTTTCTGATGTTGGACCCAAAGCCAGTGCTGGCCTTGAAGCCTCCAGGCCTGTAGGCAACATTTTGGCCAGAGGCATGGTAAGACACAGCTTTGAAGCTGAAAGCAAAAGAAACAATCAGTGAACACCAGTGTCTTTGGTAGGGAGACCGGCTTCTCCAGTTACTTTTTCTTCCCTGTCTCAGTCTCAGCACTCAACAGTTCCGTGTTTGTAGAGATAATGTTAGTCTTAGTCAGACCAAGGCACTGAGTCACCATGTTCTTAGAGGTATAAGCGGTCTGTGGCAGAACAGAATCTCTTGCTTTTACACCAGGCCTTCAAAGAAGAACGGAGACTTGGAGAGGGGAGGGAGAAATGTAAAGGAAGAGAAGGGTGACTGAGAGAGGGTGATGGAATACATGTGGTGTGAAAGCAGAAGCAGGGGCTGTTGGAGGGAAAGGGTCAGCAAGGAGGGAGGGGACAGGGGGAGCCTGTGGGGGGGATGAGACAAATGAGGACAAAACTGGACACAAGGATGAAAATGCCATAATGAGACCTGTCATGTTTCATGCAAACTTAAATAATTGCTTGTCCTTCCTTCCTTCCTTCCTTCCTTCCTTCCTTCCTTCCTTCCTTCCTTCCTTCCTTCCTTCCTTCCTTCCTTCCTTCCTCCCTGTCTGCCTGCCTGTCTGTCTGTCTTTGTTTTAAGGCAGTATCTCATGTAGCTCAGGTTGGGCCTCTAACTTGCTGTGTAGCTGAGGATGACCTTGAACTCCAGATTCCCACTGTCTCCACCTCCTCAGTGCTGGTATTACCAGTGTCTACCTCCTTGGCTTTTGTTTGTTTTTGGTTCTAACCTAAAAAAATTAATAAGAAATTCTGTCTGTCTGTCTAACACATGAACATATTAGAGCTGCAATGAGATGGTTGCTACTGACTATTGAGTTCTTTGTTTTAATTAAAGTGAAGGTGACAATGTCCAGTGGGACTTTGTTTTGACAAAGAATCACAGAATCTGTCAGCTGGGATGTACATATGTATAATTTCTAATTTTCTTTCTTTTTTTTTACAGGCAAGGTATCAGAGGCTACTGTAGGGTAAATATGTGCCCCCCAAAATTCACAGGAAAATTTAATCTTCAGTGTGATGGTGTTAAGAGACCAGCCTTTGGGGTGGTGGTGGCGGCACACATCCTTTAATTCCAGTACTCCGGAAGCAGAGGCAGGTGGATCTCTGAGTTTGAGACCAGCCTGGTCTACAGAGTGAGTTTCAGGATAGCTAGGGCTACACAGAGAAACCCTGTCTTGAAAAACAAAAAAACTAAAACAAAACAAAAAAGGGATAGGCCTTTGGAGACAGTCAAAGGGATCACTTCCTTGCCCTCCTGTTCCTTCTTCCATGTAAGCAAACTTCCTCTCCTGCAGAGAATGCAGGAAGGTGCCATCTTGACACCAGAGACTGGGCTCTCACCAGATACCAATCCCAATGCCTTCATCTTGGACTTCCCAGATCTAGAGCCATGATAAATACATTTTTATTGTTCATAAATTAACTATCATAGGGTGTTGTGCTCTAACAATCCTCATGTGCTGTCAGAGGTCAGGAGAGCAGAAATGACCTGCCATAGTTACAGGGCCGGTGAGTGGTAGAACCATCACATAATCTGGCTCTATGGATCCTGGGTCATATGCAAAAGTTAAGAGCAGCGTTTCTCAATAACAGGGCTATTGGTCTTTGGAGCAGATCCTTTGTGGCGAGGGATGCTCCTGTGCATTGCTGGATGTCCACCCTGGGCATATACCCACTAGAAACCAGATTCATTATCCCCTACCATCTTCAAAGCAATCAAATATTTTTAGGTGTTGCCAAATATCTCTGCAGTTGGTAATTAATGCAAAAATCTCTTCCAGGGAAGGATTACAGAATTAGGAAGTACTGGAGCTAGAAGAAACTTAGAGGGATTACTATTCCGCCCCCCCCCCCCCCCACGCCCCAATTTCAAAGAGTATCCATCTTGAATACTCCCGGTGGAATCTTGTTCTATTCCTTCGATTCCCCATAAATGAGGAAGTTCAATGAACCCATAGCCGATATCATTCTTCCATGTATGCGGATCAATTATTCTGGCTATAAAGTATACATCAAATGAAATTCTAGCCGCAGTGGGAGAGGGAGGACTCACTTGCTTTCATCCGGTGTCAGGCCACGGCAGGCGATGCACATCATCACTCCCCCAATTAGTGTGAGGCCTCCAGCGACCCACCCCACAAACAGAGCCGCACCGAAGGTGTACCTGAAGAGGGAGATGCTGTGAATACAGTTGACTAAACCCTCCAGGTTCTTCCCACTGCTTCCAGCCATGCCATCCCCCTTGTTCTCCCCTCGTCCCTCCCCTGTCTCCTGATCAATGAGTGAGCCTGCAAGGCTTGGCAAGAGAAGTTTAAGAGTGATGGAGTCGCCAGCCTCAAGTTATTTCTCAGAGAGTTTGGGTATCTTGAGTTTTCATAGTGGTTCTTATCTCGGGTGGCATTATATAGTGACTCTTCCCTAAGGGCCTAGGCATTAAAAACTTGATATCCAAGGTAGTCTTATTGGGAGTTGGTGAACTTTTAGGAGTTGTGACCTATGTGGGGGGGCTTTAGATCATTGAGAATATGCTTTCAAAGGATGTGAGACTCCTGGTATTAAAACTGAGAAAGTCCCAGGCAATCAGGAATGACTTGATGAGCTACTTTCAGGCTGTTCTTATAACCAAGAGACTATGGGAGAGACCTGGAACAGAATAATGGCATCTTATGTGATCACGTTCCTACTTAGTCTTGAAACAAAGGAGAAACGTGAATGGGCCCTGGATTTCCAGAGTCAGATCATGACAGTTGTACCATCTTGATACCCTGTCTATACCGCTTGCTGGGTGGCTGGAGAAATACCAGGCTCTTCTGTGTAGAGAGGATTTACATCAAATTACATTAAAACAAGACTTTCCTCCTTAGAGATTTTGCTGGTGCTCATTGCCGAGATACATCAATTTGGCACTTGGCCCAAACAAATATAGGTGTTGGTATTGCTTTTCCATTACCCCGCCCCCCCGGGTGGGAGGGGGGATGAAGAGATGGCGCAGTGCTTAAGAGCACTGTCTGCTTTTCCAGAGGATCTGGGTTCAATTCCCAGCATCTACATGGCAGTTCAGAACAGTCTGCAACTCCATTCCCAGGGGATATGACACCCTCTTCTGACCTCCTCAGGCATATGTGATATATAGACATACAAGCAAGCAAACACTCATACACATAAAATAAAAAGAAATAAAGGAGGAGGAGTGGAAGTGGATGGGGAGTTGATGGAAGCAGGGGTAATCTGGGAGGAGTGGAGGGAGGGGAAACTGCAGTTGGTATGTAAAATAAATGAAAAAAAGTTATTTAAGTAAAATAAAATAAATGTTTAAAAATCTTAAAAAAAAAAGAAATAAAACCTCAAAAAAAATTGTCCTGTTCCTTTCAGGCATCAAATTATAGCGAGGTTTCATCTCCATCTCCATCTCCTGGACCTCCATGAGAGTGTGGAGCTTGGGTGTGTCTCCTGCACTCTGGTCTCTGCCTGGGCCTCAGCAGGTGTTCAACACGTTTGCTGGATGAATGAATGAGTGAGAGAAAAAGGCAACAGTCCCGGGAGGAACCAGGCCTCTTCCCACCCATACGGGACTTCTCTCCTTTCTATTGGGGGTCCCCCCCCCCCCGCTCCTGTCGAGCTTCCATTATGGACTGTGGGTCTAAGTTGATGCTCATTTACATCTTGGGTTAACCACGCCTGTCGTATCGCCACCACAATGGGGCCCTGTGTAAGAATGCTAGATAAATACTGTGAACTGTCACTGTATTTCAGTGTAAATGCCGGATCAGCCTCAAGTCATATCAGCAAGGGTATTTCATGGAAATGAAGCTTATGAATTTACAGATCATTGTTGAGTTATGATACGGCATGGTTGCCTCTGATAAATGTTTGCTATTTCCGGCGCTGACAGTCACATTAGGCACATGGTTTAATCGTCCCCCACTTACAATGTTCTCTGTGGATCACCAAGAAGCCAGCTAAGAGGTTACCTTGTCTGAACAGTCTGCACCATGCCACCCATGCCGCTGTACATGTTCGCTGTGGACATCCAGAAGTTGGTAACCAGCATGTTGGCAAACACGGACACACCGATAATTGCACAGATTCCTGTGGGAAAAGAACAAGGACCAGTTTAGGGGACCACAATGTTTCTGAGACAGTTTGTGCTGAAATGAGTTCAGGTGGAAAGACTGTAGGATATTCCATTCCTGTAACAGAATGATCAAGCAACCACTGACTGTTGAGTTCCAACTATGTGCTAGACAGTAGGCAAAGAGCTCATCTCGTATTTAATTCTGGAAGGATTCATATGTGTGTGCACAGAAAGAGATGTTTCCTCGCACCTCAGGATCCAAGGGTAAACAAACCAAGCATTTGGGGATGCTCTTTGGTTACTGGCAAGAGCTTTCCCCTTAAAGCCACTTTCTAGCATTTCACAAAGAAGATGCCTTTCAAAGGCCCTGTCGCATGCTTGCCTTAGGGTTGAACCTCTCCTATTGAAGTGTCAGTAGCAGCTAAGAGGGACCTTAGAATGGGTTATAGTTCTGTGGAGTGTAATTTGGCTTTCATGCATTCAGACCTTGAATCCAAGTGTGAAACACTCTGAGCTGTTTAATAGTGGGGAGGAGCCACTTTTCTTCTATCAAAATAAATTGTTCTAACATTTGCAGGTGCATGCTTGAGAGTGGGAGTCTGGGTTTACCTGAGATGATGAACAGGATCCCTGAGGTCAGTGTCATCTTGGCCTTGGCAGGATCATCCATGCTGCCAATTCGAATGCACTTCAGGGCGAAGATGGATACTAGAATACCGAAGACCCCCAGAACAATGCCCACGATCATGAGGGCTCGTACTGCTTGCAACATGGCTGGAGAAGAAGGGGATGACATAAGCCAACAAACAACGACACTGATTAGGTTTTATGTTGGTAAAACACAACAAACCCAATCCACCAATGCTGAACCTTTGAGGACTAGCAAGAATGTAAACTGTGAACTCTGACATTGTGCAAAAACGCGGAATGAAAAAAGGCATCACTTGTACTCCTCTGAGTGATAAAAGATGTACACACAGATGTCCATAGAAAGAGAGTTATGGATGAGTAAGGTTCAGAGAACTCTGGGTATTTATTCTTACTTCAAAACTTGATATTCTGGGCCCAGAAAAGGAATGCATTTGTCTAAAGTGATTATCAAATTAGTTATCAAGCTGACAGTAAATTCAATTAACCCATGCATCATTCTGCTTGTCTTTGCATAGGAATTGAAAGCTTCATGCAGCACATACAAACTGTAGGGAAAGCTGAGGGGTAGTGGTGCATGCCTTTAATCCCAGCACTTGAGAGTCAAGGGAAGGCGGATCTCTGTGAGTTTGAGGCCAGCCTGGTCTACATAGCGAATTCCAAGGCTGCACAGAGAAACCCTATCTTGGGGGGTGGGGGGAAGGAAACAAACTGTAGGGCAACTCAGCACTAAGTCTGGCATGAAGAAATGAAGGTACCGAGACTATATCAATAATCCTCTATTTTTGTCCTTCTTCAAAAGCAACTACTAAGGTCATGGGTGAACTGTAGGTTTCTAATTGCATAATGATCAGTATGTTACTATTAAGTCTTTCAACATGACCATAGTTTATCAATAGTGACCTCTTTCTAGGAACCAATTGTTTCTGTAGGTCCTACTGGATCCTGCTATGGTCCTCACCTCCAGGTGTGTCCAACATAGTTTCTAGTTTATATTAAAAGATGGCAACTCATCTTAACAGTCACTTATGAAACTCCCATACTGGGGATGGGATGTCAGTAGTGAACACTATGAAATGCTGAGAGACATTCATCAAGCTTGCCTATTGCAAGCATAAAAAATTTTATAAGGAAGACATATGGCCTCTGGTGTCTCTCAGTGAGCAAGTCTCCTAGTGTGGGTCAGTCTGGTGGAGTTCAGCTGATGAGCTATGAACCATATGTACATATGAGTCATATGTTTGGTACATATAAAACACCACTGAGGGTTACATTACTATTTAGACCCAAGGCACCAAATCAGGTGCCAGGTAGAGATATAGATTCACAGGTCCTACACCATTCTAATGATGGGGGCGGTCACCTGAAAGAGATGTCATTCTTAGCCTCTGTGAGTCCAGTTAATAATGCTCAGGTGAAATTCAAATTTGGGGATAGAAAAGAAACAACAGAAATGCTTCCTGGTGACCTTCTTGCCACACCTCTTGGCTGGCTGAGATGAGATCTCCCAGACTCTAGCTCAACACTACAGACTTCCATATACTTTGTTCTGATTCTCAGCTCCTTCAGGACCTTGAGATTGATTCTTTGCTTTACTCCTGGGAGGAGTGTTCTATAAGCACTGTCACTACCCTTGGTCTAATTAGCAGGTGCATTCTCAATACAGGTTTATGTGAGCCGGCAATGGATCATTCTTGGAAAAACTAATAAATTTGGCATCTTGAGATTACAGTTGAGTTCTGTGCTATTGTATTGGTGACTCCAGTAAGACACAGATAACACATGAGCATTGGAGGGACACTAAGACCTGTCTACTCCTAAAATATGATGGCTTTGCTGCTCTACCTGTATTCCAGAGCCATGCCCAGTGGCTTTGCTGGCCCTGCAGTGTGCTGGGAGCAAACACTTTTTTCATTTCCTTATTAAAAAATGCAAATGCATGCCATCTACTTGTGCATTCATTTCTGTCTTTGCGTATTGAGAGGCAGCACACACTGGACTATTGTAGCCATGAATTCATAATGCCTTGATATTCTTTTCCGTGGATTTGTTTATCTATCATGTTTTAGGGGTTTTCTTTTGTTGTTCATTTGTTTAGAGTTTTGTTATGTATTCAAAGATAGCCCTGAACTTACTATGTAGGCGAGGTTGGCCTTGAATTACCAACAATCTGTCTGCCTCAGCCTACGAAGTATGGGATTACAGGTGTTCACTATGAGGCCTGGCTTTCATCATGTGTTTAGAGCTCAAATCCTCTGCACCTCCTTCCGATATTGTAGAGGAATAAACTTTCAAGAGAAATGATCTGTCTTCAAGGCTTTGCATACTGAGATTACATATTTCCACAATCCTGAGCCTATATTTCTTCTTACCTTGGGAATACTCTAGCTGAGTAAATGCCAAAGGACTTTGTGACAGCAGCCCATGGCATAGGTCAAATTGTCTTTTACACACACACACAGAGAGAGAGAGAGAGAGAGAGAG